TTTTAAATGTTATACCTTTTTGAATTCGTACGGATCCCTACTATCAATTGGCATTCAAGCAAATTAAAATTCGATAGGTTAAAAAAAATTGTGGACCAAAATACGATTCGTTTGTAAAGTCAACCTTTCTTGATGGGTTTTTTGGAATATCTCGGCCAAATAATGTCGGATTTTGGAATTTTATACCATTTTGGACTCGTTAGGATTAGTACTATCGTCAACCTTTCTTGATGGGTTTTTTGGAATATCTCGGCCAAATAATGTCGGATTTTGGAATTTTATACCATCTTGGACTCTTTAGGGTCAGTAATATCGATCGGCATTTAAAAACTGAAAATCTAAATTTTGGCCCAAATTGTCAAAATGGCAAGGGGTTACATCACGTTTTTTGTCAAAATCGGGCTTGGTTCGAAAATCAAAATTTTTTGATCATAACATATCTCAGGTAAATATTGTCTGATTTTGAAATGTTATAAATCTTTGAATTTGTAAAATCGGTTGAGTTTTGACCGAGTTATGGGAGATGGAAATTCGACCTACGTCTATACCAGCGGGAATACCCCGGCCTTGCCCGTGTCACTTTTAAAGATCTTTGAAAATGTGTTTTAAGCTGATCGATGAGTTTTTCCGCCAATTTACCACTGTTGCGGGCGAAATTTCCCAAATCGCTGAAACACGTATTCAAGCACCGAGGAAGCTTTTATTTCCACCAAGGAGCAATGTATTTTTTGGAAAGTGAAAAACACCCCTCAAATGAATTTGAATAAAGATCTTTGAAAATGAGTTAGAGGCCGATTGGAAGGTTAACAAAAAAGTTTCATACAAACATTTGTCGCGATTTTTCGAGGATTTATAAAGTGAAAATTTAGAGCTTCCTAGCTCTTACGGTTTGGGCTATGCGTTGATCACTAATCAATCACTCAGTCAGGACGAACAGTTTTATATATACTTAGTTTAGAGATAACATAGAAATTTTGTAACTTTGCTAAATTTTTGCTGTTATAAAATACAGTGTAAATTTAGTTGTATAGTATATACATATATACATAAATTATTTAATTAAATTTTAATCAGTTAGTTTTTTTCGTATATTTCAATTCAGTCGCATTTTATGCTATTTCGAAACTGATCTATGATAGTAGAACGTAAAGACTCAGTTCACGACGGCTATTATGGATGTATATCTGGATATTGCAAAGGATTTTGAGAAGGCAACAGCATCACTGTCAAAATCAAACACATTTAACAAGTCTTTTGGGGCTGAACGCCCCTCACTTGAGTCATCAGTTGGCTGCACCCTTCGCCCGCCGTCAAACGGAGCTTGAGCTTCAATTGCAGCTGGCGAGAGCAAACACTTTGGCAATTTGACTTTTGGTCAGCAGTGTCAACAGCATCAAGCACATACACACACACACACACACAAATACTGAGAGATTGAGAGCGAGGGGGACACAGACAGCCAATCAAAGAGTGGGTTGTGGGTGGACAGATTGTTAGAGACTGCATACAGGATGCCTCCATGTTGGCACATTCATTAATTTTACCACAAATTTTTGCAATTAAAGTTTGCTGTTTGTTTATATGTTTTGCCACTGGCAGAGAGTGAGAGAGGGAGGGAGAGAGGGAGTGAGAGAGGGAGGGAGAGAGAGAGAGCGAGAGCGAGGGAGTCGCATGAAAATCAAGCGCACTGAACACGAAGTCAATAAAACTTTTGTGCTACTTAATGCGAATTTATAGTGTAAACATGCACACACACACACACACACACAAGCCCACATAGACAAACACCCACAGCCACAGCCGCACTTAGACTCAGCTGGTTGGGACACTGGCTGGCATTGTGGTTGTGTTGACAAAAACGACAAAATTGCGTTACCAACAATTGCATAACAATCATTTCAAGTTTTCCGCAAATTGTAAAAAAAAAGTTTTTATTGTTATTATGAAAACTACAACAAAAACAAGGAACCACATCGGCACCACCAGCACCACTGGCAGCAGCGGCATCAGCGCTTTACTTGCTTTTTGGTCTGTGGCATATAAAACAAAATGGCCGCACATCCTTTTGCCAGCTCTCATTTTGGCACCCCGACACGACAGCCACCGACATTCGCATAACTATGCAAAATTGTTGTCCTTGTCCCCGCTGGCATTGTTTTGTTTAGCTTCTGATTTTGCTTTGTTTGTGCATATGACTTTGCTTGGAGGTCGCCTCAGTCAGCCGGGGCCGGACAGGATTTGCTACTGTTGCTGTTGCTGCTGCTGCTGCTGCCGGCTGTGGTGGCAACTGTACGTCAATTGCGGTCCGTTTTGTGGCTTCCGTTTGTTACTTGCAATTCCTTTTTGGCAATGCCACCAGGCTGTATAGCTCTCCATTTGGGCATCGTCAACGCCAACGCCCCCACCACCACGAGCACCACAGCCAGCAGCCAGCAGCCACTGCGACTGCGACTGCGATTGCGATTGCGACTTCTACTGCGAATGCCACTGCGGATGTCTGCCATCAGTTGACAACCAACTTTGACTGGCTCCTTGCAACTTTTACAACTTTGCCCGGCTTTGTCTTTGTTCCAGCTGATGATTTTTTAATTGCGACTACTTTTGGCAGTGCGCTCGGATTTTGCGATTGTTCGCTTCATTAACACAACACTCACAGCTATCAGCGCTGAATGACAATCTGTTTACACTCTTAAGCAAATGTGTGTATAAACATTTAATTTCACAATGATTTGATTATTCGAGCGCTTGATGGGCTCATACAATTAACCGATTTGGAGAGATAGCCCAACTATAACTGAGACCCCAAGGAATTCTCTGGGGTTAAACAACTCGCTGCTCAGTTTGTGAACAAAGTTAAAATTAAAGATTAATAATAAAATTCATAATTTTTTTTTTACAATTGCCCATTGTACTGAAAATATAGAAAATATAATCGGCTGACTTTTCGACAACTAGTTTTGTTTGGGATTCAGTCGACGATACAAATAAATTTCTGGTACCTACCGATTTACAGCATGAATTAAAAGCTATATTTTTCTTACATTACGAAGGAATTTGCTACTGAAGTAGCAAAGTTTTAATTATTAAGAGTGTTTTTCAACTTATCTTGTTGCCTAGTGTAATCATATGTGGGAATATTGATTATGTTTAACACGTAGCCGTATATGAGCAGTTGCTGTCGTACCAACAATTATGATGAAGATGATAATATTGTTAATGGCAAATGGACATGCTGTTGGGGCCAATACGATTGCAGTCGAAGGCTAATCTGAAATGCGAATTTTCAACAATTACGTGCGTAATTTTGTGCCCGGACTCCCAATATGCATGGCCAGCATCAAGCCAGCTGTCAGGGCCAATTGCTGCTGAGGCATCCGCCGAGGCGGCAGACTAAGGTAGTCAGGGCGTATGGGAGGCAATCTGGTTATGGCGGTCAGCAGTTCATTGGCGTTATTATGAGCAGCTGACGCTCATTGAATGCGCGAATTATGCATGCGCTCTGAGCCAACGTCTGGGCTGACATGGCTGATTGGCCAATTGAGCAGCTATTCGAAGACGGCTGCCGCTGCCACAGTTACTAACTGCTGCCACCGTCAAAGTCGAATTCGCAGTCATAGCTATTTAGCGTAATTGAATTACTAATTTTGTGCTGCGCTCTAATTTATGTTTATTAATGTCTACCCCAGGACCAACATTATTTTACACAGCGCAGCGTTGTTGTTGCCTCTGCCAGAAACTTTGACTGGCAAAAACTGAGGGAATCATGCTATATGAAGCAGAAAATGTGTGTGCATAGCCGAATGCAAGTCAGGTGAGTGCGAGCGCGTGTGCGAATGTGACTGCAATGCAAAACTTTAAATGGCCAAAAGGAATGAAAAAAAAAAACAATAAAAATAAAAAATACAAACTGCCGAGCAAAAGCAGAACTGTATCCAAAGCGTGGCAACAGCAAAGAGCAGCCGCAAAATATTTATAAAAATTCAAACAAACTGGGAGAAAGTAGGAAATGGAAGGCTCAAAATGCACACATGCGTGAAGGTACACAAAAAAGAAAAATAAGGAATAAATTAAAAACGAAAGGCTGATACTGAAACTTGAATGCTCTTACAAAGGACGAAGTCGAATTTTTTGCCAGTTATATTTTTATTTCAAACAAATATTCAAACCTTGCTAATTTAAAAAAATATATTAAATATTTTGAGAAATTTTCAATCGCTTTTACAATATTTGTTCATTTCTTTTTATCATTTAATATACATTATTATGTTTAATATTTGTTTAATTTTTGTTGTTCAAAAAAAAAAAAAACTTGTTATATCAATTATTGATTCTTAGAAAATGTATTTAATATATATTTTGATGTTTTAATTCATAAGTTTGTTAAAAGCTTAGATAACTCTTAAGTATCCTATCGTATTTTATTAGTTTTTGCCAAATGGCTTATTTATAAACGTTGTTATTATATTTTGTGAGGGCCAAACACAAAAAAACGCATTTTTATTGATTCAATTTTTCGAATATCCGGTTAGTGGGCAAAGGGTATAACAAAGTCAAGAACAGGCTTTTGTTGGGGCATTCCTAATGGATTTCTTGGCATAATTAACCCAAACTGGGCAGGGTCAGAGGATTGCGAGCACTGCGAAAGTGTTGATGGTACGGCACGTGGTAAAGGAAATGCCAAATATATATATATATATATATAAGCCAAGTCATGCGTGGCAATTTCACAATGGCAGCTGCGTCCATAACAATACGGCTTGGCCTTAACTTGCTGCCCCTCGGGCGGGTCCGGGAAGCCTCATTCAATGACATTTCTCATGCGTGTGAATTTATGGGCTCCCGAGCCCAAAACAAAATTTCTTAAGCTAGCCATTTTAAAGGCAACCCTCGGAAGTACTTTAATTATTTGCAATCGTCTAAAGTCAAAGTTTTTGCCACACATAAATCATTTCCCTTAAGCATTTATGTTATTTATAAAAAAAAATGTTTATTGTATTTTCCGTAGAATTTGCAGCAGCTTCTCTAAACCAGAGCCAGTGGTCGTAAGCACGCCTGGGAAATGTCGTAATAGCGCCGCTGCTCCAATATAAAATACATGAAACACACACACACACTCAGACACTTTGTTGAATATCTATGGGCAAAAGTATCTGTTTCAATTTGCATATCTTTGATTTGCTTCAGTTCAGTTTGGCTTGTCACTTGTGCCGGCAAAACTTACAGAGCAGCTGTAGTTGTGGCCACTTTCCCTCTAGTTGTTGTTGTTGCTGCTCCCTGCTCCCTGCATAATTCTCCAAGGACACACAACAATGCCACAAAGTTTGGCGCTAAGCTTAAGAGTTTTTTGGCCTCAGCCTACGGGACTGTGGGCCAGTCCTGCCGTGCCTCTGCCGTGTGGCTTTACAGCCAATATGCGTTGCTAATACGTAAAAACCATTCATTATGAATTATACATACGCGTGCTGGGCTCGAGTCACACACCCACCATCTTAGCTATGCGTGCCCAGGATAAATTTGGCTCCCAAAAGGAACTGCATATGTGTCCGTGTGTGTCTGTGTTTGGGTATTGTAATTGTGAGCTTTGGCCTTGGCTTTCGCTTGTCTTGGCCCAAGACACTTGGGCCATGACAACAATCCCCTGGCTAGCAGTTTAGTGTGGCTAATTTTCAGCGGAGATTTTCTCGGCCAACTTGATTAGAATTGATGAACTTCATGTGAGTGCGGTTTCAAGGGTTAGGCTAATATACCCTGTAACCATAAAATAAATAAATGAGCGAGCACAATCGGAATTTTCATTTTTCTCTCAATATTTTCGCAACTGTTCATCCGATCTTATCTAACCACATATATTCGTAAAATTTTTGAGTAGCAGTGAATTTACTTCAGAATGCGAACCTGAGAAGTGATTACAGGGTATGTCCTAGTCCAGAGTGCTGTTGACTAGAACATATTTCGTTTTTCATTTATTATTTATGAGTGGCAGTATGGCGTTGAGCAAATGTTCCGCCCAGAGAACTGGGTGACATTTCTGAACCTTTATAAATTTGTTTTGTAAAATAAATGAGGCAACATTCGGTTCCTTTTTGGGGTTGAGCTATTTGAGCTTTGTGTTTTGCTTTTTATGAGTGATGAAAGCGAATCAGGCATATAAAATAAATCATCAGCCCGACTAAATGTGAATTACGAGTAGTGCGCTTCAAATAGCTTGTAAGACGGAAAGGTTTTCACAACAGACTCCTATCACACATATGAACGGGTAGCTAACATTATTAAGGTACTTTCCATTCATGACATTTGAATTATGGTTGAATTAAAATCAAAGATCCTTTATTTATTTTCTCATTTGTCCAGCCAGGCTTACGCGCTCCTTCAGCGGTCTATGCTTAAAATCATTTTAGACTCCTTTTTAATGTATTTGGTCCCAATCGGAATATTAGGGGAAAGCGTATCTAGTCGGGTTTAAATTGCTGAAATAACTTAAGTATAAAATTCAAAATCAAAAACAATTTAAGAATAATTTGAATTAGCTACATTATTAACAAAAAAAAAAAAATCGAAGTTTATGTATTAAGCTTCCAATATCTATTTAAAGCATGAAAATAATTTTACATCAAAATCAAAAGCTTAGCTGAAAATCCTCTAATAATAATTGCCCCAGCCACAACAAATCGCATTTCACGTGCGCAATTCGCATACATAAATTCGTAGACTTGAAGGAACCCCCATTTATTTGTCCGCACCATAAATAACTCAAAGACAATTGTGCAGGGTACTCAAGTGTGTGCACAAATGAGAAATGAAAGCCAAAACTATTTTTGATATTAATTGTCAAGGCGGTTTTGGGCGATGAATGGCCCGCTGGCTGGCTTAGTGTTAGGGTTTCAAGATGTGCGGTCATTAATTTCCGGTCAAGTGGCCAGCAGACAATCATAATTATTTATTTAGCACACAGCAGATTGACCAACTGCACACGTGGTTGCTCTGCGGTGGGCGTCCTCGACGGTGGGCCTATGTGTTAGTTGTGTGGTTAGCCAAGGTGCTGAAATGTTTACTTTGTCAGCCAACGACTGCGAGTCAAAGTTAATGATGCATGCCACTTGCGGTTACCGTCATATAAGGGCGTGTCTCCTTATGTCCTTGCGTGCGTGTGTGTGTGTGTGTGTGGGTGTGAGGCGCGCGGGTGCGCGGTTGCAATTTATAGACCGTAATTGCAACAATTTCGTTGCCGCTTTCTTTTGAGCGCACACATCGGCAACGTTAACGTTTTGATTTATCCGCCAAATGCACTCAGCGAACATTCGATTTTAATGACATGGCACTGCAGCTGGCCTGGCCCTGGCTGGAATCCAATCTATATGTTAAAACAAGGAGTGCGGCCAAAAGCAGCCTTCAATTTGCGCAATAGCTTGGAAATAATTTATAACATTTTCCGGCTACATACATATGTGACTGACTGTGCCGCCACGACTTTGGCATCGAGCTGCTGCTGCTCAAGGGCATGCTGGTCCCTGGGTTTCCTGGTCGGCCTCCTGCGGCTGCTGCTGGCCAATGCAAATATTGAGCAAAGTCACCTTTTATGCTGCTCATTAAATGCGACTTAATTTTTGTTAGCCGAGATCGCGGCTCTATGTCTACTTTCAGTATATCATGTCAGCACAAATAACTCACCAAAGAAATCAACAATCTGCTGACAGTTCCTTTTCGGATTTCCAATTTCAGCTCCTGCCCCAGAGTTCAGTTTTGGGCAATTTCATGCTTGGCAACATTTTGCGTGCTGCTCTTTGCTTTCGCTCATAAGACAAATTAAAAAGTTTTTGTTGCCAGCGACCCAGCCAAGTGCTTAGCATTATTAAAAGTTTTATAATTTATCAAATGTTCTAGACCATTTCTTTTTTTTTTGTGTGTGCGCGAATTGTTTACCGGACACATTGCTGACATTGACATCCGCTGGACTTTTGGGCAGCTGTTGGCTGCCATTGTAATTGGCAAATGTTTTGGTCTGCAAATGAAATCAATAGCTGGATTATAAGTAGCCCGCTGATAGGACACAGACAACAGCAGCCAGTTCATTTTTTATAGATAAGCAGATACTTTTGTTTCAACTGCCAGCAGCTGGTGTTCGAGGACGCACTGTACCTGCCGCTGCTGTTGTTGCCCCTGATGTACGGTGTATGCTGTACCTGCCACTCGGCGGCCATCAATCTTGTGCTATGATAGCGTCTGACAGGTAGCTCGTAAATCTCGACGCTATCTCTGGCGTTTTTTAAAGGCTCTCCGTGCGTTCCCATTTGCGTAGCTGTCAGTTCTAGACGGCCAATACACATGAGACCCAGTTAGAGAAAATCAAATCAAACGTCCGAATCGATGAGTTTCCCACGTTCTTACCAGCTCTGTGTGTGCGTGCGGGATGGGCTAGTGGGTTTCCTTATAAATACTTTTAGCTCACATTAAATTGAAGCACAGTTGTGCTTAAGCCCACAGTTTCTAAGGAGTCAAGTTAAATCTATCGATATAGGAAATGCTTAAGTTAGCTAAAGAAGTCGTTTGAAATATTAAACAATTACATTTAGCTTATGCCTGCTGACAAGAAATCGAATCATCAATGGAATATATGACTTCATTTGTGTGGCGATTAAGTCATGATTTTAGCCCATCTATGCACATTGATTGCAGGCACACTTTGGCAGTGATTGCCCTGTGTTACATTGTGGATTACGAATGCGAATGGGCTGCCCCGAACAAAGGATGAAAATACTTGCTGGGTATTGCGTTCAGGGCTTTTCATTATTGTTAATAACAGTGCCACGCCGAATCAATCAGGCTCAGCTGAGTCGAGAGCTTAGAAGCATATTGAGTGCAGGATGAGCAGCAGTTGCTGTTACAGTTGCAGCTGCAAAATTGCATGGCTTTTGCAATATTAATCAATGGCTGGCCGGTCAAAAGGTGCATTAGCCGCTGTTTCCACATGCTTGGCTGGCAATTGAGCAGATACAGTGCGGCAAATTCAATATTATGCCGGGGGTTGTGTGCGCATTGTGTGCAAACGCTGCGTATACGCAATATTAAATTGCCTGCCAAGGGAAACGCCAGGACAATGCAGTACTAACAAGGTAGCTACTCACTCACGCACACACACATATACACACACATACACGCAGGCAGACAACATTATGCGAAGTAAAAGGTGTGGCTGGCATATTTCATAGGGTCGCCCCTTGAGGATACGGGCAGAAAATGTGCGCCTGGACGTTTTCATTTAAGGCGTGTTATTAAGTTGCATGCAATTAAAATTACGCGCGTAATCAGAGCGAGAAAGATAAATTCGCGTTATAAATATAATTCGCGCTTGGCTCACGCATGCCTTCGGGCGGGCAACGGCAGCAGCTCATCCACCACCCCGGCCGTAACCGGCATTTGGCACAGCTCCCCGGCGTATTCGTGCGCGCAGTCAGGCTGCCGCACCAGGGGCTAATTAATTTCGCCACTTTACTCCCTTCACTCCGTCGCCAGGGAGTTGTTAAAATGTATTCTCTATGTGTGGGTGCTTTGATTTCTTTTTGTTTTCCATCTTTCCGACTGCCTTTTACATTTACTTGTATATATAAGTGTGACGGAGCTCTGTAAAGAAAAGAAGCCAAGGGGTATTCTGATTGTAAATTTAAAATTGTATAATAAAACATTTGTCAGAAATCTTAGAATTATATTTATAAATGATATTTTTATTTGCATTATTGTATATTTTTATAGATTTTTACAATCATATCTTTTGTTAACTCTAAAGGAATTACCTCTGAAATCAATTTATCAGTGGAATTATCACATTATTATGAGAAATATTCAAGAAGAGAATATTTTGTTAAAATATGTTTAAATAATACTTGAAAATATGGTCTTGAATTAATCAAACTGTACATTGTTAAACTTTGTAGTTACTTCTCTTGTACAGTCTCTTCCATGATATTACGCGCTCCATCAGAATTTCTTAGTTTTTAAAATGTTATTTCATAATTTTTCTGTTATGCCGATTTGTATGTATACATAGTTATTTTTTTGTGTTCATAATATGCCAGGGAGCTAATTAATATGCTTGTAGGGACACACTTAATCCATTCGTCAATGAACCAATTTCTTGAAACTGACAAAAGTTTAAATTAAAAACAACCGAAAAGCCGTGCTTAAAATTCTGAGCACATGCTTGGGTAAATTATGCAAAACTCTTGGACAAAACTAAAATCCAACTAGTATCTAACGATATACGCACACACACATATACACACAAATCCATATATTCACGCGCTTTGAGCTGTGCCTAGAAAAGTTGGAAAAGCTTCTAAGGGCTGGGCCTGGCTTGGGGCTCGATGGTCAAGCGATAAGGAAAAACTGATGCTGAAGAAAATGAAAAAAGTAAAGAGTGCGGATAAAATGTAGCTGCAAATGGTCGAGTTGCTGCCCAAAGAAACGAAAAGTGTCAGCAAGTGACTATAGCGAGCTCTACAATAAAGAGGAACAGGCAAAAAACTAGTTTTTACATGGCCAACTAAAGAACACGCGCAGATAAAGTTGCCCCGTTGCCCAAATACAAGCCCAAGAACGACACTATACACAGTTTTCTTTATTTTTTTTTTGGCAGCAGGCGAAGGCAGATGCAAAGCGAGCCAGGACGAAGTTGGCAAACAACATTAGTTGATGGCCCA